GAAACTCTCTTCTTATGTTCGGCGAAAAATTTTGCTCAGATTTGAGTAAAATTTTCTCTATATTTGAGTTTAATATTTTAAAAAGAGAATTTACATACAATGACTTCAAAAACAAATTTCCAACAATGTATCAAGTAGTTACACATAGGTTAAGAATAAAGAAACTACCATGTTAAAACTAACACTTTCCATGCAAATTATCTCGATACATTACTTGCATTTTTTGGCAAAACATCACCTCTAATAGAATAATAATAGGGATACTTATATACTTTACATTAAACTCTCTTAGTATAAATATATCTGCCAGGACTCCTTAGAGTGGATCTTGTTCCATTATTCTCACAAGATATCAAGAGCACAGTAAAAATCTAATTTTTTTCGGTTCTCTCTCTACATTTCGGCGCCGCCGGCAAACCCTAGTGCCGCCACCACACACAGGCTACTGCCGCTTCCAATGACTTCTTTGCCCGTCTCTTCCGCAGCGCCTACCATGACGACGTCTTCTCCTTCCTCCAGCTCGTCTCCCGCCCTCAGCGCAGCCGCCTCCCTCGGCATCACAGCACAACCGGCTCTCTCTTCCGTCCCAACTGCCTTTACATCTCCAAGCCGCCACCCCATGCCCTATTCTCGTTTTCAGAATCTACCGTCGTCGTTTCCGTGGTCGGCACCAGTCCCAGTGCAGCAGGTCTCTCTTGAGCCACCACCCCTCTTGGCTCCTTCTTTTGTTGGACCTACGTTTGTTGGATCGCCAGGGGTATCATTGACGAGCACTTTGTTGTAGTGCGTCAAAATAAATTCATTGCTAACACTTATACGTAGTATAGTGAAGTAGAGTTCGTATCCACAAGAAAAGGAATAAATCTCTTTTTAAATGAAACTAGTAATTAAAGGAGGATTTTGGGGTTGAATGATTTAATTTAATTAAAAACTAAGATGAACAACTTATATGTGATTTAATTCAAAGATAAAAAGAATTTGGTTTTGCTACTTTCCACTTGTTGATATATTTAGTTCATCCTTGTTATATCTATAACTTATCCCCTCTCGAATACTCAATCAAGGAGTATATCCAATTCATCGAGGGTAGTTATTAACAACGACCGTTTATTAACAACCCTTACTATTAATCAAATATAGAACAACGCCGTATACCGATTTAATAGTAGCATTTAATCTCAATTGATGAAATCAATTGAGATTGATAACTTCAACACAACGGTTTCGGTTTAACCAACAAAATTAATCCCGCCTAAGTTTATTAACCACGACCGTGCATTAATAAACCGAAGTTACTTACTTGTGAAACCATCAACGATTAACCATCGGTTCGTTGATCGTTCCTAGTAATAATTAATGTCGAAGTGTTAATTAATCGTCACTTAGCAACACCCCAACATTAATATAGAATAAGATTAAGGGAAGAATTAATATTCAAGAAGAGAAGTTAAGAAAATAACTCTCAACTTTAATAATCAACAAGCTTCAAGAACAAAACCAAGAAATGGAAGTTTAGCTCCTCATTTGGAGACTAAACATAGCTAGAAAATATAAAGAAGTGCTATTCTAAACTGGGTTTAAGAGTATATGTGAATTGGTGTGTAAATGGGAACTAAAAGGGGTGTATTTATAGGTGTTTGGAGGTGGCAGGGTCATTTACCCGACCGGCTTTTTCAGAAACCCGATCAGCTTTCCTGAGTAATTGCCCAGAATCTTCAGTGTCACATCTACCCGATCGGGTTTCCTGAGTAATTGCCCAGAATCTTCAGTGTCACATCTACCCGATCGGGTTTTTGATTTACGCGATCGGGTAAAAGACAAATCTTTGCCAAATCTTCGCCCTGCACGTTTAATTGCCTTCAAATCAGATTTGATCTTCGGGTCAAGTCAAACCCGATCGGATTTTTGGAAAACCCGGTCAGGTTTTTGACTATTTTCCCAAATTTTCACTTTCTCTTGTTCCCTTGCACTTTCCTTGACCATTCTTGGATCCTTTTGATGATCTTTACCTTGTTTAAACTCAGAAAATCCCTAATCCAAACAAATTACAAACAACTAGGAAAAATAAAGCATTACACCTCCAGTGTGTAATTTTCCAAATAACAACAAATAAAACTAGTTAAAATTACACACATAAACGAACATAATTCTATACTATCAATCATCTACTTTGCCTCCTGTTCGGACATCCACCGGCAGCTCCACTGGTTTCCCGTTGGCAGAACTCGCCCAAATGATTTCACATGTTGCGACTAATGTCACAAACATTGTGTCTACCAAACTCTTAGCGGTGGAAGATTACACTACCTGGAGGACTCAATTTGTGTCGTTTCTTGTTTCTCAGAGTCTCCTTGGCATGGTTGACGGCTCCATCCAGGTACTACCAGCTTATTCTATAGATGTACTTAACCGGAAAATTTCCAATCCCGAATTTTCCAATCCCGAATTTCCATTCATGGTTATTTGCTACCATTTCACGGGATGTTCTTATTGATGTTCAGGATTTAAAACATTCCTGTGAAATTTGGGAACGGTTAGAGTCTCGGTTTATGTCTGCTAGTTTAGCCAGATCTATGGAATTAAAGCGCTTATTGTCCTAACTTAAAAAGAAACCTGATCAGTCAATGGACAGTTATTTAAGGGAACTTAAAATTTTAGTGGATGATCTTGCTACAATCAATTGCTCAGTTCCACCTCGGGAATTGCTGAAAACTACCATTATGGGCTTAGGATCCGAATATGAATCTTTATTCACCACTGTCTCATTATTTCCCCAAAATTTCCCTTTTGAGACTTCGCAATCATCTTCTTGAGCATGAGCAGCAGGTACTTTATTTACACTCCCCAAAATCTTCCTCCATCCATCAAGCGTTTGGTGCGACTACTTCACAACCTGGACAGCCGCACGGCCAACATGGAGGACCGCAGCAGTCGGCTTATTCCTCCTCGACTGGGCAGCAGCAGCCCCGCCAACCGGGCCAGCAGCAGCGCGGCAGAGGCTGCGGCCACGGCAGAGGGCGCGGTTGTAGAGGGCGTGGACGCGGACAGCACCCGGCGCAGTACGAGCAACCGGGGTACTGGTATCCGTAGCAAGGGCAGTCCGTTTATCACCCATGAGGGGGTGCTCAGCCGGTTCCACATGCAGGGGGTGTGACATCTACGGGTAATCTTATTTGTAATTCTGTTATGTCACATTTATATATTAATGCCTTACCTGTTTGTGCTACTAACGTGAGTTATGCAGGCTTACCATCAGACGGGGTCTCCTTGGGTCTGTTCCGCATCCCGTTATGTGTCAAATTTGTTTTTCTGCAGGTCATTCCGCTATCACCTGTCCCTCTCGTTTCACTCAACCATCTGCTCCTGCTTTGTTGACTACTCCTGGTGAAACTAATCCCGCTTTATGGTATCCTGATTCGGGAGCTTTTGCTCATATGACTACATCCGAAGGTATTTTAATTAACTAATCTTCTTACAATGGCTATAATCCTGTTAGTGTTACTAATGGTTCCCATCTTCAAATTTGTCATGTTGGTGATGTTGCATTACCATTCTTCTGGTTGTCCTCTCACATTAAAATCTATTTATCATGTGCCTCACTTAAAATACAATTTGATTTCTATTCAAAGACTTTGCGCGGATAATAATTGTACTGTTGTTTTTTATAAAAATTCTTTTTTGATTAAGGACAAAGCATCGAGGCCAATACTTATGCGAGCTACCAGTAGTGGGCCACTTTATCCTATCAGTCTGCCGTCGTCTGCATCATTAGTTTTAGCTTCAGTTTTAGCTTTTGGTTCTGTGTGGCACCGTAGACTAGGTCACTGTGGTGACAATATTTTACAATTTCTTAAACAAAAACAATTTTTATGTAATCATTCTCCTTTTACTCATGCTTGTGTTGCTTGTCGATTAGGAAAATCACACCGTTTGCCCTTTACGGATGCTAGTCATACTTCCTCTTTTCCTTTGGAAATTATTTATTCTGATGTGTGGCAATCTTCTATTTGTTCTAATTTGGTATTTCATGTTTTATGTATGTTTTATTGATGATTATTCAGAGTATACTTGGATTTTTCCCATGTGTCACAAGAGTGAGATTTTTATGCACCTTAAAAAGTTTAAGGCTTTGGTTGAAAATCTTTTTAATTAGAAAATTAAAAAAATTCAAAGTGACGAGGTGGTGAGTTTGTTAATCATAATATGCAGCAATTTTTCTCCACTAATGATATTTATTTTCAAAAACCTTGTCATGACGCACCCCAACAAAACGGGTTTGCTGAGAGAAAACATCATCATCTACTTGAGCTAACTCGAACAATGCTACTTGAAGCATTTGTTCCAAGTCAGTTTTGGGTTGATGTAATTTTTACAGCTGCATATATCATTAACAGATTACCTTCCCCTAGCTTACAAGTCTTTCTCCATACCAAAAACTTTTTCAACATGTTCCGGACTACTCTTTAATGGGTGTTTTTGGCTCTGCCTGCTATCCGAATTTTTTGGCCACTTCGGCTAACAAACTGTCACCTCATTCTGTTCAATGTGTTTTTCTTGGCTATGCATCTTACTATAAGGACTATCGTTGTTTTGATCATAATACAGATCATCTCACCGATATCACACCATTCGGTCATTCGGCACCTTTGGAGGCCACAATGCGTGATAGAAGGCGGACAAATTCACACCTTGACCAATTAGGTGAGCTTAGGCGAGATGCTTGTAGCGACATCTTGCTAAGGTCAAATGGTCCACCGTCCACATAACAAACACAAAAAGAAGAGATGTCACTCGCAGCTTCACAAGTTGTAAACTTGAGGCATGATCTCTACAACATTAGTTAAGACATTGAATACAATAAACACCCCATTGCTCAGGCTTAAGATAGTTGAGCTAACTGAGTCTGATGGAATTGTTTGAATTTTCATTGGAAAGCTTAATATGTTGGGTTGTGGAAAATTGATACTATAATACAGAAAGTATATATAGGAAAAGGCATAAGTGATCACGCTTCATCAACTTCAATAATTTCAACCAAAAATATACATCATAGTTGATCATTAATGCATACATGTATAAAGTTCATGACACTCATCAATCTGCATCTAATGATAAAATGCGAGGATGTAAACAGATTTGAATACCATGTCATTGATCATTAATAAACAAAGGGCAGAATGGCAAAGCGATCTTTAGGGTAGTTGTCAAATTTATGCAGATACCATCTATGTGTTTCTGCCGCAGCAAAGACGAGATTTGCCACCTGCAGCCAATGTGATTAATTAATCGTCTTAAGTCCAAAATAATTAATCAACATTTCAATGCAGTTGAGGTATTTGAACAATAAAATATGACACGTGACTTTTAGAATGACATTACGAATTTGTAATAATAAGCAGTTTTCTTTTTCTCCAAAGAAAGAAAGAAAGTAGTACCACGAAACCAAAGAGTAACCACACTGTGAGATCCGAGCATCCAAGTGCAACCACGAGACCAAAATATATGACCTTCACCATATGCAAAATCGGTAATTATGTAAAGTTACTCAGAGGTATGTCCATGACAAAGTAAATTATTGTTGGTATTTAGAAAGATAAACAGTAGAGCTAATTAACGAAAGGGATTTACAATCTCAGCCAGATAATGTGGAGATGAAACATATTGAAACCAATCTCCGCAGGGTATTATGTAATCAACAGATTGTTGTTTGTTCTTCCTCAACATGCCCTAGTAATACAAGGAAAAAAATGAAACCTCCAAGTTGGATCAGTTGTGCAAGGCATAAAATGCAAAGCTGGCAGGGAATCTTTACATGCTATTAATGTACCAATGTACTAGAGTGATGTTCTCTTCACTTAAATTTTTTAACTTAATGATTAAGACATGTTCTCCTAGTTTAATATATGTGTAATCATAATGTCTCATCTAAATTTTATGATCTGGTTTGGTATGGTGATCACAATATTTTTGGTTTCATCTTGCTGTGGGCTGTCTAGTACTATGGGGGGTCTAAGGATGTTTTCTTTTGGACTGAAATTTGTTGGTCTGGTCGGGTCTGAACTGGTCTGGATGGTTAAATACATGGTCTCTGTATATTTTATAACTATGGAAATCTGGTCTAGTTTGAGACTGAAAACAATCTAAAGAAAGCATCCTAAATGTTTCTCATTGAGCTTAATTTTCTTATATTTAAAAGAGCATCCGATCAACTTTAGGATGTTTTTAATTGGACTGTGATTTGCTGTGGTCTGGTCTATTTAAGTCTGGTCTGATCTGGCAAACGTCTAGTCTCTGTGTATTTTATACTACGGAAGTCAAGTATGGTATGGTCTGTTTAAGTTTGGTCTGGTCTGTTTAAATCTCGTCTGGTCTGGAATTGAAAATAGTCCAAATAAAAAAATCCTTAGTATGAACCATTTCAGTTTGATACTCTGATATACTCTTAGAGCCCTTTTTATGAAATTGGTCTGAATCCGCTCAAATTGATGAAATTCTAACTGAAAACATGATGAACTATGAAAACATATTAAAAATACTCGCTCTATCCCATAAAACTCGGCCAAAGTTTACATGTGGAATAATCAAATAAAAACTGTGTGATAAAGATTTACAAAAACCACTTTAGTCACATATTTGTTACTTTAAATGGAGATAACAAAGTTTTTTGGGATAATTAGAAAAGGAAAGTTGGGATGTTTTGTGGGAAGGATGAAGTACTTTATTTATAAAATTAGCATTACCACGGCATCGCCTCAGCACCAACTAGGCGTCGCCTCGGCAACGGAGGAGAATCACCATGCTCAATCGACTCACCCGAAGCTTCCTAGGCGTCGGTCGCCATAGCGATGCCAGATATAGTTTATTTTGCTGACCCGGCCCGGAAATATGCGACGTTTAATCCTTTAAGCTGTCACATGTTGCCCCACCGGCTACCGAAGCAGGTCGTCCCACTGACCGCCAACACAGGGCCCTTCTCCGCCGTTATCTACTCCCACGAAGCTCGACCTCATTTCTTATTCTTTGCATCCAACCTTTGTTCTTTCCTTTTGTCCCGACGCCCAAAGCCTTGATCTGTTTGTATTTTATCCTCTTTAGTTGTCGATTAGTTGAATCCAGCTGGACTACATAGTTTAATTCTTTACTTACTGAATATTATTAAAATTTTGGTTTGAATAATGGGTAAAGAAGTAAATGTATATTTTAATTTATATTATTTTTATATTTAAATATATACAATACGTAATGGCACAACTTGTTGCCCAGTTGTCACCTAGGGATAGGCAGAGGCCTTAATGCCTAGGCAATAAGGCAGCTGGCTGGCGCCGCGCCTTTTCTAGCCGCTGTGACAACCATGAATGAAATAAAGAAAAAGTTATGTGAAAGCACTAAAATAGTCCCATTCATCAACTACAGCCAATTCAGAAAGAAAAATAACTTCAACCCTATTTGATTGTTAGGCAACTCAGCGCGAAAAATCAAAAGTTACATGTTTTGTGAAAAAGTTCATTGAAGGCTGATAAGCCAAATATGGGTGTTATCAAATAAGAATTAGTACTAAAGTAAAAGAATAATGCCATGAGAATGAACAATTATTTAAATAGACAAGATCTTAAAAATCCAAACTAGAGTACTAGACTAGACAACAAAACGGTCGGACACTTGGACATGACCAGCCCAAAAAAATCCAAAACAGGCAACATATATGTTTCAGACAAGATCTGAAACACTCATGTAAGAGCAAAAAGATTGAGAGCTAACAAAAAACATTCAAACCAAACCACAAAGATTTTACACAGACATGATCTAATCCTTAAAAAACTAAGGAATGAGAGCACATTTTCAGTTCAGGTGAAGATCCTTAATTCCCTTCTCCTATCAAGTCATACAGCGACAACAACAACATCTAAGCATTATTCCCAAAAGTTTTTGGGGTCGGCTAACATGAATTGATTCATAATATCATAGCAAAAAAGAGAACAAACCAACCAACCAAAAGAATCCAAATACAAAACTATAGAGGTATACTCATCTTACCAAAATAACATGGCAAGTGTGCTGATGAATCACACCCCAAAAGAAAATAGCAGCACCAATCCATGTGTACCATCTTAGATTACTTAGGGGATTTACAAACCCTGACAAAACAAACTTGGTTTCTTGCATTCTATCTTTCTCCTTCAAAATAAACTCTTGGAACAAAATCAGAGTGAATTTGAAAACCTCTGAAATATAATTACAACAAAGAGACAAAGGAGCAGCTGCATAAAAACTGCATAAATAAAAAATTCAGAAGGCATCTTGTTACCATATAAATGGATGTTTAGATTTTTCAAAATTTAACATCTAAGTAGCTAACATCATTCTGATGCATATTCAATGAAATGATTCTGGTTCAAGCAACATCTGATCAAACCATAACCTTGTAAATCAAAGGAGCATTAAGTAGTCAACTATTTAGTGCTCTATAATACAGGAAGATAGTATCAAATATGAAACATTCAATGCAAAACACACTCTTACAGTTTAATCTATTATTAACTTAATAGAGTGCCATGATATTGTGTATGAATAAATCATCACTTTGGAAATATAAAAGGGAAAATTATTTCGAATACCGCAAACTACGTGCCTGCCTACGTGGATGTGTGAACTCAGCTCCAAACTTCAATGTGTGAAATAAATATCTTAAACCTTATATTACAAGTTATCTCAATACCATGGAAGTAGATTATGTAATTCACAAATTTAAGTTTAGGATGTTAAATGCTCACCCAAAAAGTTCAGAGTAGATAAGTTTTGCTCTTAGAACCCTCATCATACGCCCATGGTGCTCAGGCACAAGTGATATATAGTTCAAGATATTTATTTCACACATTAAAGCAGAGGGTGGTGAGTTCACACATCCCATAGTTTAAGGTATTTGAACTAATTTCTTATATCATAAAAGAGCCAATAATGAAACAAAAGTGGGCACGCTTACATCAAGCCTGAGAAGTAGCCAAAAATGTGCATTCTGGCAGATGGGCTGTAATTAAACACATATACTGACTCAAAAAGGCGTCGGAGTAAGTGGGTTTCCATTAGTAAGAGCAGAAAGACAGATAAAAGAATTCCACCGCTTTCCTTTATTGAATGAGATGTGTGCGAAGAAAGATTATGTGAACCTCCTGCCAGTTCACTCACAATGCTCGGAAAAAGTGACATTTCGGAGATCATCAGTGTGGACATACATGCATAAACCCACATTGCAATTAGCAGAAGGGCTGTCCAGAGAGAAGCAAGAACATAAAAATGACAGAAGAACTTTTGAGGGACAGACAATTTCTGCAATCAAGTAAAAGGATTTGTTAACAAGGATTAAGAAAAACGAAAGGAGTTTTGATACAAAGAAAATGAATTTAAAAAAGGTGAACTGCAGTGGTCCACTCTGAAAATTGCTAGACAAAAAAAAAACAGAGAAAGTCAAGGAAATTTGGAAGGAAAGAAAAACTTAGGGGAAAAAGGTCCAAGCTCTGTGAATCAATTTTAGATATTTTCACAAATTAATAACAATATGTCTAATTCATCTTAAAACACAAATAATATATGTGCAGCTGTGCAGATAATAAGCACGTGAGTGACAAAAAGCTAGACACACCAAGGGTTTGTAACAGCCTCTTTTATTTTCTTTTTCCAAATTTAACTCCGCATTTTTATACTCCGCAAATAATGTTAATATCACTCACATGGGATGAAGATTGCATGATCTTTCCTCGCCTAGCAAACCTCAGCAAGAATGTGTGAAACCAATCAAACTTGGAGGAAGGAATTGAGGCAATCAGAATGGGAAGAATTGCAGCAAGCCATAGTGCTCTCAACACAATGACCAACCCCAGCTCCATGATATAGGTGAAGAAAACCCTACTCAACAGTGTGCAGTGATAATCTCCAGAATTTCTGTAGAATGTAAACAAGAGATGATCTAAACCTTCCAGAAACAGTATGAGTAAAACACAAAGCAGAGATACTGATTCTGCACCCACAACATTTGAGCTCGGTTTATAATTTATATGCTTCATATTATATTATGAATTAATTACATCTAGCTCCTCTCCTTTTTAGCTCCGATTTCATATGTCAATTCATGTTAGCTGGCCCCAAACTCTTTAAGAAGTAAGGCTTGGATGTTGTTTTACCTCTGAGGTTTGGTCAAATTGCAAAATGAGTCGAGGTCTCTGAAAATTAGAAATGTGTCCCGTGTCCAGTAAGATTTTCCATACCTGACCCTTTTAACCTGAAAACTTATATGTAGTTGAATTTAATGCTATTAGGAAGAACTGTTCATATTTAGAACTAAATTGGTGTTTTTAATGCAGTTTATCGACTAAAATATTTGGAGCTCAAGGACAATCTGCAAGATAAATTTGTAGATAACTTAGTTAGAAAAACTCAATTCCTACTAATATCATTATTATATGACATCATCTTTTGGTGTCTTTTGCGAAAAATCTGGCTGGTGAGCTGGTCAAGGGACTTAGGGACTTATTTTTTATTTCAGTAAAATGAACTTTGTCAACACTAAGGAATTCAATTCTGTTTATTATAAGCTAGAAACTGATTTCGTAATTCTTTGTTACATTGAAATTGAGAAAATTAATAGTCATGTGGCTGTAGTTAATAATCCATACGTTCCCCTCATATTTCTTTTCAATTACTCCTGAAATACTTACTATAAGGGAAACTGGGCAAGCATACAAGATTGATATAACTTTCTACACATATCTTAAAAATCCAATTTTTATGATACGTGCAGGAAGGAAAGTTTGATATAATTTCCTAGCTACTTAAGAATTAAGATTGCAAGCTATTAGCTACCTAAATTAAAACAAAATCAAAATTAAAGAATAAACGCGTATGAGTTATGAGTTTATGACTGACCTGCTGCCTGGGGCTGGGTCGATTAGCGGAGCTAGGGAACCAGTCACTCAGTCACTTCCACAGGGCCACAAGCTGAGAAGTGAGATTGTGATAAGCAGACTATCACGAAGCAGGGGCGGGCGCTGTGCGGCTGAGGGGATGCGGGGGCGTGAGGCGGGTGCGAGATGCAGCCTGCAGGACTACGACTGGCCGCCTGCGACCTTGCGTACTTGTCTCCTTGCTCCTGGGGACTCGCGGAAGTACCGAACGGGATTATCGAATTGGGTGACGGGAAGCAGGGGCCAGAAAAATGACGCAGGTAGCTAAATATGAATGAAAACAGTGGATCTAGATTCGAATATTCAAGAATTTATTTGAATAGTGCGCGGGTGAGAAGTTTGAGTAGAAAGGATAGCTGGAGATCGATTTGGAAGGAGGTGGCTGAATAGTGTAAATGGGGAGATCGGTCTACTGAAGCTTCTATGGCAACATTTAATACAGTTCTTGGGTGAGGAGGGGAAATCGGAGGTGGAAGTAGAAGAACAGAAAGGAGATGAAGATGTAGTCGTGTGAAGGTTTCTTTTAATTTTCACGGTCTTTTGAAAATCGAATTTACTTTTAACGGTCTTTTTCAGAGGTTTTTAACAGCGTGATCCTCTTGTGATAACGAAATTCAAACACGTGAACTACTTTGATAAAGAATGAAACACGTGAACTACAAATACATTTTCAATACTTTTCTCTAGTAAAAATCTCTACAAAAAAGTAGATAATACGGTTTGTTCAAACTCGTAAATGTGTCTACAGAAATCGATTAAACCTTCGTAGATAGATTATTATCCTTCAAAAATATAATTATAGTGATCATATAAAAAACACTAAATTCAAATTTATGACAATGATGAACAAAGTCAATACTTTATTCTTATATACTCCCTTCGTCCCGTTGGAATGTTCCCGCTTTCCTTTTTTGGATGTCCCGTTGGAAAGTTCTCATTTCCCTAAATGGAGAGTTATCCTACATCAAAACAGGGTCAAACAGTGCAAAACAGTGTCAAACAGTGTCGAAACAATGTCAAACAGTGTCGAAACAGTGTCAAAACAATAAAATTTACCCCCTGGTAAGTTTATTTCTTTAATGTGTGTAGGACAAACGGGGAACATTCCAACGGGACAGATGGAGTATTAAATATAAAAAAGATTAATCTAATCTATCTATGTAGAGGCGTTTATGAGTATGAATTATTTATATAGACATCTTTAGTATGAACTATTGTCGTGGAACCGCTAAAAGTATGGATTATTAGTATGAATTTTGCTAATTTGATATGCATAAACTATATTTGATGAGGAACATGCTCAAAAAAATTATCAAAACAATGAATTTTTGGCTCTATTCATTTTTTTCTCCTCTACACAAACCTTAACCAAATAGTTTTTATTATTCTAATTTCATACCTAACATCACTTTGACAAAGTTGAGAGGGATGTAGTTAATATATTTTTTTATTTATTTAATTAATAATATCTTTTTACAATTCAACATAATGAGTCAATATTCAGTCAAAATTTAATAAATTTCTACATGATCATCATATTCGATCAATTTCAATGTTACCAAACATGGTCTAAGTCATACATCCATTCATCACATGATTGATGCCAATGCAGATTTTTTACTAACCACATCCCCGTATGAAAAAAGGCGAAATAGACTCGCTCAATAAATTCTACCCATCCAAATGAATTTTAACATTGTTTGTTTGACCGATTACAGAACTCACCACACAATGTCATTTGTTTTACCTGGGTCAATGTGGGGTAAAGAAGGTTGAAATTGTCCCCAAGGTGTTTCGAATCCGAGACATATCACCATAGGGGATAGTGAGTCGGTGACCAGATGACATCTTCCTTTTTTACGTTGAGTTTTTTTATCGCCCTTTTTTACGTTGGAGTTAAAAAATGAAAATGAGCATCAACCATACTAACCTTCAAAAAATTAGAGAATATATTACAAACTCACATATTTAAATTTAATCCAATGCTGGACACAATCATAAAGTAAGAAAAATTCATTTAAAATGATCATATTTTAAAATGATCATATTTTAAAGACCAATTAAAGAGGACATCTTATAAAATGGAATGAGAAAAGTGATAATTTCATTTATGCATAAATTTAATTTATGCATAAATTTAACACCAACAAACATACAAAATGGATTGAAAAAAGGGATAATATCACTTTCATTCTTTTCACTAATTTCTACTCCCTCGATCCAGTTCGTATACCGTGGGATCATCCCACGGTGAGCACCGTGCTCCACTCCCAAAACGACGTAGCTTTACACAATTCTTTTAAAAAAAATCGCATGAACAGTACACGCGTGTACAATAACTGTTTTTTCTCTTTTTGTCCCATTAGCATGAATGATGTAACTCGCGTGTAAAGATATGTAACTTACGTTATTGATAAATGTAACTCAAGTGCATTCGAAATGTAACTTGTCAAATACCTAGTATTACAAATACAATATTGATTTCAATGTAAACAATGAAAAAATAGAGTCCAATTGCACAATTGCTTTAGGCTATGATATTGTTTTTAAAATCATGACCATAAAAATTACGGAGTAATTTTTTAAAAAAGATCATTTTTTGTTTCAATAGCAGGAGTTGATTTTTTAATGTAACTCATACTATTACAAATGTAACTCGCGTTGATGGAAAATATAACTTAGGTGTATACAAAATGTAACTTGTTGGAAAATTGAACAATTATTTTTGTGTGTGTTTGAGAATAATATATATATCATAAACATTGATTTTAATGTAAACAATGAAAAAATGATCCTAATAGCTTAATTACTTTTTTAAATAGTGAATATGTTTTATTTTTAATAGTAGGGCTATAATAATGATATAGCATATGTTTATTCCGTGGTGTAATTCACATATATTAAGATGTAACTCGCGTATATTAAGATATAACTCGCGCAGAAAAAGATTTAACTTCATGATGTATTATCAAATGTAACTTCAAGAGTCAAAATAAACAATCTCAATGTCTTAAAAACTTCTAAAACATATTAAAGTGATAAAAAATTATATTATAGAAAAAGTGTGACCATATAAAAAATATTACAAAAACAAAAATAGTGTATGAATATGAAATGCAATATACTTGTTTTATTTAGATTAATAAACTTTTTGTTATGTATTGATAAAGAATAAAAATGGATTCAATTATAATTTAATATGAAGATAAATAAAAGTAGGATTGCCATTAAATTTTTAGTATTTTAATTTGATGGAAAAGGAAAAAAAAATTGAACAAAAGAAAAATAAAGAAAGAAAAGCAAAAGAAAAGAAACGAATGTTGCTCTAGGAAGAAAGAAAAGGAAAAGAGACTTGCCTAAAGTGCGATCGGCACACCATGCGGAAGGTGGGTCGATCCCACGGTATAATTTGCGCCCTTGATCCCATTTAAATCTTTACATTTTCCTTTTTGTGACATCCTATTTACTGTTTGACGTTTCCTTTTTAGGCAACTCATTTTATATTAAATGTCTTAATTACCCTTCACTACTCACACGCTTTTTACATTTGAATAGATAACATTAATTTTCTCCAAAAGTCAAAGGGCATACAACACATTTATTTTTGAGCTTATAAAATACTCTCTCCGTCCCAATTTATTTTGCAAAGTCAATATTTTTGGTCAACCAATAATAAAAGTCAATAATTCTAGGTTAAAACAATTTATGACTAGAAAACGTACCTGTGCGATGCACGAGTATATCTAGAGTAGTAAAATAACTTATTTAAAATTATACGTAATATTCTATTTCGATAGTATGGAATGCGTACTTTTGTTAAATACAGAGTATAAAAAAGGCAATGAGGCTTATATGTTGTAAGTTTTATTATATAATACTCCATAGTAGTTTGAAAGAAAAAGGCAAATTTAAGACTTTTGTAATTTGTAAAAAAAAGGAAAAAATGTATTATAAAAAGTTGAGAACTATTTTTGTCGAATAAATGTTTTCTGGGTCCATGCTTCCTGATTCGAAAGAAAGAGATGGTGATTCTGCATGAACCTTGATTCTCATTCTCGCTTAACCACAGTGAACCAAGATAATCTCAAAATCATGGCTTATACAAATGTATGTGTATTCTGATCAAACACGGTGCTAATGAAATGGAAAATATGTGTCTAAAAAAGTTGATATGATATCATAATACAATCTGAATGTTGTGTATTAAAAACATAACTTTTGAAGTATAAATTCAAAATCACTGTAGTCCATATTCAAATTAATGACACAGATCGATGCTTGGGTTCTAATTAAATTGAGTTAAATTGAACATATTTTAGAACTAATGGACATGAATGTTGAATGCATGGCTTCTAAATAAAGTTAATCATATATTTGAAGTTAGGATATGCATGGATATATGCATGTATTCGAGCTTATAAACTGAAATATTTTTATAACTCTACATTTTAACCAATCTTATTTTTATGAAATATAAGGTCATCTCCAACAAGCACCAACTTCTACACCAAAATGATGCATTTGCCAAAAAAATGCTCCAATAGCCACACCATCTTCAACACCATTTCACCATTTTGGTGGAGTGCCTTTGGCTTTACGCCATATATGGCGTACACCAAATCCAACACCATCTTCTTTTTCTATTTTTTTATTTCAAATGTGACCCAAAGTTTTGATTATTATAGTATTGACCCATTTTTAAAACAACAAATTAGGATGTTTTTACTTGGACTAAAATATCTTGATCTGATCTGGTCGGATTTGGTCTGGTCTGTTCTGAACTGATTTGGTCTAGTCTGATTTCTTTGTATTTTTATAAATATCCAAGTCTGGTCTAATCCGGTTTGATCTGATCTGAGACAAATTACAGTCCAAGTAAAAACATCTATATAGAACAACAAATTAAAATTATTAATTTGATAGAAATAACAAAAATATAATAAAACTTAAATCGCACAATATTATAAATAAAGTTTCAAATCGAAACAACATAATAACAGAATACAAATGATACTTAAGAAAATAACATAATTAAAATTACGATTAATAACACCATTATAATTAGTGAAATATTGATTATTGTATTTTAATTAGTGAAATGCGTGAAAATACATATTAAAATGGTGTATTGTATTTTGTATGTGTGAAATGTCAAAATATTAAATGTGGGGCTAATGTATAAATATATGATAATTAGATACTTAAATAGAAGAATGGTAACAAGTTAGTAAAAAGAATAAAAAGAGAATATCCTTTTTTGGTGATGAAAATGGTGTAAACTGTTGGAGATAAAATACTGTATGATGTGATGTTTACACCAGTTTAGTGTAAAAAATGGTGTAAACTGTTGGAGATGGCCTAAGGAGTTGTTTACTTTTTTCCTATTAAGTCCTGCCCGGATTAAGTGAGATTTGTATATTAAGTGTTTTATTTTGTGTGCTGAATAAATCATTTGACTAGAGTAAATTAATCAATTTAATATTATTATTAAGTTATATTGACAATGAATAATGTCATTGAT